ACATGACAGGCACAGTTGAACAGTCCAAGCAGTGAGTAGCTGAGCAGATGATGTTCACAAGGCGTGGGATATTGAGGCAAGGTAATCTCTCAGCACCACAAACAGGAGAGTAGAGTAGGAGTAGGTGATTTACGGCCCCATTGACACTATTTAAATACTTCAGGAGGCTGGCAGCTGCAACCTTTCAGGCCCAACCCGGGCTGAGACTCAGAGAGGGACGTACCACGTCCCAGCAGACAGGCGGAGATACACGATTAAATAAATAAAATCTCCCATACGAAAATCGAACTCATGTCTTCTGCACACACAGCGAAGTACCTAACCGTTATACCACAGAACCAGTCAATAGACAGGAAACTAGAGGATAGGATTACAAAAAAAAACCCTGTAAGACTTTCACAAAGATGAAACCTCACACAGAAATTTGGACGAGATCAGAAGATGATTCAAAATGGCTGCCAGAACCAAGAGTGATAGCGATGTACAGCTCACGCAGGTCAAAGGACATACAGTTCAGCGTAAAAATTTATACCCAAACTCCTAGACTAGTACCTATATGACGCCCATCTAGACTTGGAATTTATCATTTCATAAATAGTCCAAAACAATAATAACAGCAACCTACACACTGGTTACTAACACCCTCTCTTAGATTAAGAAGACAATATTTCAAAACCAGTATAGGTCCGGCAAAAATCGACAAGTATGTTTCCGCACAAGCAGAGTAGGGTACGACATCCCAGCAGACAGATAGAGATACATGACAAAACAAACTTCCCCAGGCGGGATCCAAACTCCAGTCCTGTGCGTGCAACAGTGCAAAGCCTAACTCTATGACATCATAGACATGGGCAAACAAATGACTATCCATTTCAGGCTGAGAACATAGACTCGAAGAGAAAGCTGAATGCTGTAAATGCTAGTGCAAGCAAGTGAGCGTTGGTACTATTTTTCAGTGTCAGTAATATTCTTCAAAGGAGCAGTGTGTGTCAGCCACAGTGATGAAGAATATTAGTTTTTCTTCTTCTTTTTTTTCCAGGCCTGCATCCATGGGGTAAAGATTAGATGCTTCACTATCACATGCAGGAGACCTGAATAGGATTCCCCTTCGGGACAATTTTTTTTCGAGTATGTCAGTCGTCACGCTGAAATGTACTCCCTTCAACTCGGGTCGGTCGTGACAGGTGGGGTTTAGGCCCACCTCCAGCATGATTATCTAAATTGTGTCAATGGGGGAGTAAAAACACAATGATTGAGCTTGAGCTAATTGTTGTCTTCTTTTTTTTTTTTAAACAAAGAAGCTTTTTACAACATCCTTTAGTTCTTGGACTTCCAAAAACCAACTACACTGCTGACAAACAACAGGCATGGTCAAAGCCCATCTCTAAGTCTATCTAAAATGTGCTGATGGCGACGTTGAAACACTTAAGTAAAAGAAGTTTTATTTAGCATAAAGTGCTTCTTAAAATCTTGGACTTCCCTGAAAAACAACTACACTGCGGACAGAATCGGCAAAGTTGTCCGGTCAAAAGGAGCCTCGTGCGGGCGGTGGTCACAAACGCTTGATGGTGCGGGCCAAGCCCCGGGCCAGCGGGAAGGTGGCGCAGCAGAAGCCCGCCATGGCCGGCCCGCGGCCCGAACCCAGGAGCCCGCCGCTGGTGTAGTCGTCGAGGTCCGGCGAGTCCAGCGGGTCCGTGTAGGCTCCGCTCTCCGACCCAGAGCTGTCGGACATGCGCAGCTTGGACAGGTCCACTGAGGGTTTTAGTTTTAGTTTGAGTATAAGTTTTACAGCACTTACAACACTTTTGGGTCATATAAGTGCCTAAGATTAGAGGTGTCACTTGTTAGCTTTAGTAAGAGTTTTAATAGTTAGTTTAAGTAAGAGTTTAATGGCCATTTAGTAAAAAAGGGCCAAAGAAAATGAAGCTCTCAAACTATTATCTACAAAACTGCATCGAAAAGAATTTTTTTCGCTTTAAAAAAAAAGTCTCAAAACAGAAAAACAAAAAAAAGGCAAAAACAAGAAGGATCAAAGCATTTTGCAATGATCCAAAGTACATATAAAAAAGTAAATGACAAAAATAAAAAGGGACATTGTTGTCACGATACAAAAGTAAAGGAAACGGAACATAAATTGGGACCAAAAACATAGAAAAATTTAGGGATAAGAAACAGCCTGCAATAGGAAATTCAAATACTCTAACAATGATAATAATAATAAAATGATAATGATGAAAAAAAAAATTGCATTTAAAAACAACAAATTCCTGTCTCAGAGAACACAAGGCAAATAAAGAATAACAATGACATAACATTATGAAGAAGTAGAAAAGAGTTGATATTTTTTTCATAAAACACCACCTGTATCTTATGAAGTCAGCCGTGCCCACTGGCTATGAGAAAAACAAACCTCCCCTGAACTTTTCCTTGAAAAAGCAAGCATGAGGACTCAAAATTTACAGAGCACATTCACAAATACATCTTGTATCAAGCCCATTTTTTAGGTAAAGTCCCTGGAATCTGGCACATTTGGGATGATGCAAGAAATCCTGATTTCCAGATTTCTCGCAAAAACTGGCATAAAGTGAAAGTGATTTCTGCAGAAAAATCAGCACCTCTGAAAAGTGAATAAAAATACAGCCCCCAGCTGATGTGACAAAGTATCACAAAGTATCATGAGGACATAAAATGAATAACCATGTGTATGGAGGGTGGCGGTACAAGGGAATAGTGGCTTAAAGTCGTTTTATGTCTAAGTAAGCATTTCACGGCACTTGCAGCTCAATTAGGTCATATAAGAGCCGAAGATTTGAGGAGTTACAAGAGAGTACCAAACACAAAAAAAGAAGGAAGGGAGATAAGGATGATAGATGCTTGATGGGAAAGAAGGAGCATACCACACCACAGCACCGGCCAATTGAACCACCAATGTTCAAAAAGGACGAGAATAAAGAGACGTACTATACATTGTCATTGACATCAAAGATTTTTTTGTTGTTTGAGTGAAGAGAAGCACATTGATATGTAATGGCCACTTAGCATAAGAAACAAAAGCGGAACAGAGAGACAAAAATAGAGTAAAGAAGTAATAGTACCGGGGGCACCCTCAGACCAACCACAAACCGCCATTGATTTGGTCAGACCATACACATACTCCCCAAAAATAAAATTTAAATACTAAAAAAAAAAAGTAAAAAAAACAAAACCCCCTCAGAAGCCCTCCAACATCCTAAGCAAGATCAGGTCAGAAGCAAAAGAGAAAAAAAACCCTGAAAAACAAAACATGCACACAATTATGAGGTAGCACCCATATACCGAGAGGGTTCAATATATGGACAACTTGTGTAGGTGTCAGGGCATGGCGTCATGAGGACAGACAAACGTAAATACAGGCCGTAATGCAATGAAACAAACGCTACAAAGGCTGGACAAAATGCACAGTGGTGAGAAGCAACAGCAAAGCTCAATACAATAAACATGACACGTCAACATTGTGACAGATACAAATGAACCCTCCCCCCTCTTCCGAAAAAACCCCAGCAACCCACAAACACAAAACCAACCCCCAAAACCCACATGAATTTCAGAGGATAGGAAGCTTGCTTATGTATTTCTTGAAAAAGTTTAAGTTTTACACCCTTATCAACTCAATTTAGATCACTAAGGGTGCTGGCTGCTTCGACCTTGCTCGTCACGCACAACCCAGGCTGACAGAGAGGTACAATATCCCAGAAAAAGGATGGACAAACTAAATAAAAATTCTTACAAAACAAGATTCAAACTTGTATCTTCCACGTGCACCGGGAAAGCGACAAACTGCTACACCACAGGCGCCCATTTTGATTAAGTGGAGAAAGAAAAGAAAGCAATCATCGTCATAATACCCCACCCAATTTCTTGACCAAAAAGTGAGAAGTCTGCAGCGTTTTTTAAGCTGGAACTGGACGACTATAAGGCCCATAGAAACAAACTGTCCTCAATGCCTAGACCACACATGGATGCATCAAACGGACATTGCAAATCACAGAGCATTTCGCTTCAGCAATCATCTCAAAACCATCATTTCAGAGAGATCTTGTATCCACTATTTGTCTCTCAGATGTTTGTTCCTCTATGCACAAAAGGTAGCATAATGAAAGCAGCACTACTCACCCAAATATAAATCATATGTGTGTATGTGTGAGTGTGTGTGTGTTTGAGTGTGTGAGTATATGTGTGTGTATAAAAATTCATAAAATATAAAATTGATCCAGGCGTTAGAAAAGAATGCATAAATAGAAAGTTATTCCACATACAAACTTACAAGCCTAAAAAAAAAAGAAAGCAAAACAAAACGGAACAAAGTTGTAAGCACACACAGTTCAGACCACACAAAAACATAAGCCATGAAAACAACCAGGAGCCCACATGCAACATCGCATCATCCACCGCAAGAAGGCAACTAAAAGAAAACCAAACACTAAAATAATAAATAAATAACTAGGAGTCCTAGACAAGACACTGGTCTTCAAATCGAGTCCACAGCTAAGCAAGCAGGCGCACAATGAGGACACAAATAAATGTTTAAAAGAAGAATATTAAATGCAGCAGCAGCAAGCGGCAGGGGGGGGGGACGTCCCACCGATGCTGATGATGATGACAAGACCATAGACTTGAATTATAATATCCCAGGCTGGGCACTGTCATAGCTCCCCTTCCTAACTCTCTCTTTAAAAATTTGTTTTTTTAATTTTGCTGCGCTGATGGTGTGCACCATGTACATGAAAATGAAAGGCGAAGCACAAGTCTCGCTATATGGTCCAGTGCGCGCACATCATTTCCTCTTTGCCCTTCATTTATTGGCTCCAAATAGAATCAAATAGAGTATTCCACAGTGAACTGGAAATATGTCAAGAGTGCCCAGTTCTGGATATCACATTATAATACGAGTCTATGTGACAAAGACAGACAACTCTGGCTAGGTCATGCATCTCCGCACGATGCCGATCAGCATTGCCTACCTTTCCCCTCAGGAGCTTTCTTTTTTGCCACCTCTATCCTGCCTACAAAAACATACATGGGGTTGGTGTGTTGTCCAAATTGATCGTCTCATTTGTTTATTTTTTTCTTCTTTTATCTGTCATATTCACCTCAAGGTTTTACAAAAAAAGTTACAGAAATAGGACAAAGATGGCTTTGTGCAAGACCCTGAAAAATGCCATTTTGAAATTTGGCATTTGTTAAAGTTTTGCACCAAGCCCTTCTTGAGGCTGATGTCTAACAGACAACGGAATATCTTGAGCAAAATCACATTTTTCATCAACTTCTCTTGCACAATGAAGACCAAGTCTCTGATATGAACATGAATAAATAGGCTTTAAATCAAAACTGTGCATTGTAGCACAATTATAAATTATGAACCTGCTATTTAATGCAATACAAGAATTTTCTTTCAAAAGAATTTGCAACAATACTTACTCTTGTGAAAAGGCACTTCATACCGTAAGAAACATGTAGTGAATTTTCATAGTAGACACAGAAACTTTCTTCTTTTAACCAACAAAAACACTTCTGATAAAAAGTGATTGGTGTGTTTTGACTTTTAGAACTTCTTGTATATTTCTGAAAATTGAGACAACAGTTCTATCCAGCTCTAATCTAAACGACGGGCCACACCAGGGCCATTCCATGAAAAGTGAAAGTGGAATGAGACAAGGGAGCATGAGGGCGATTACCAGCTGATCCAAACTCTACACAATTGTTGAGCTATTTTCATTTTTTTATAAAGGCTTACGTTCTTAGATTTAGTTTTAAGTCACATATATGTCGAAAATTAGAGGTATTACAGAGAGTAACGCACAGGGAACAGAAGGAGGAGAGATAACAACGACAGATGTTTGATAGAAAGCAAACAAACCACACCAGAGCACCCCCCAAACATCTACTTTTGTAAAAGAATTTGTTTTGCTTGGGGCAACTTTCCTTTCACCAAAATGAATAAATGATCAAAAATAAATAGATGAACAATAAACAAATAAATAAATGATTAATTGGATAAATAAATAAAGCTGGCTCAATCGTTGTTTACAATTTTTTTCAGCTGGTCATTGTACCCATGTTAAGTATGTCAGTAAAAGGCGTCACTTGTCATGGAATGGCCCATCATGACACAGCTCCACTGTGGACCCACAAGGCTAACCGCTGTCTCTGCATACCTACACAGAACAACTGACTGACAATATAAAAATCTACGCCAGGGTCGGAACCTGTTCGAAACAACGTTAACAAATGGAAAACAGACGGCTCAGAGCTGAACAATATCAGTGCAAACATAACAAGGGAGACCATAGTCCTCTCATGGAACACAACTACCATATTCATACGTATAGACATATATTATGTATAAATGCAGATTGTAAACAAAGAATTAGAAAGACCAAATCTCACACCATATAAAAATTATGTGAAAGTACGAGCTTTGATGAATGTTTCAAAGAACATCTGAGGCTGAAAGGTGATTAAAAAGTCGAAGACATAAACATCTATGAAGTTAGGAGAAAAAAGGTTAAAAACCTTATTTTCAGACAAGTCTCTGATTGAGCTAGATAAGCTGCTATCTCATTTTCTTTTTAACATCCTGCATACTTTTTCCCAAGAAAAAATAGAATAATACAAGTAAAGCTTCATAAATTACTCATGTGAAGTGTGCACAGGTAAAACAGCACTGGGTGTAAAAACTGCAGGGATTTGTGCTAACTGAAGAGAAATCTTTTCGTTGATTTTTACGAAACACAAAAAAGCAATAGGGCTACATAGAGTACATATATCATAATATGATAGGGTGCCTTGAAGACTTTGCTCAAGATTCCTAGAATTTGATTATGTACATAGAGGCACATAGTGAGGCCTCAGATATAGAGCTGAAGATACACTCACCCTGAAATATCTATAACTTTTTTTGTCATAAGCCTCGTGTCAACTTACAACTTACGTTAGAAACGATTAAAACAAAAAAGTCCATGACTACATATAAGACAGGACCTTGATGGGACTCAAAAGTACCCCCTGTCCATGTGAGTTTCTCCATAGTTCTGAGAATCTTTAAATAATGAAACCAAAGACAATTCTGTGAATTATCTCATTCATGCAAGTTAACAAAATTCCAAAAAGTCTACTCAGATTATTTATTGTAAAACAAAAGAAACCATTCCTAAAGCAATCCCTGAGTTTGTCTCTACTTTAAATAAAATTGAAAAGAAAAAAAAGTCCCTTGTGAGATAGTAGTAAATCTGAGCTTGTCTTTATTCAACTGAATGTCACTTCCTGACCTATACAAGTTATAACTCATAACAAAACAAAACAAAAAGCTTCCAGAATGATCCCAGGGTTTAGTTGCTGCAAAACAAAAGATAGGTAACTCACAAAAAAATGACTTCAGGATTATTTACAGTAAAACAAAAACCATTTCTACAGTCACCTTGACCTAGCTCTGAAAACAAAGCGATGCTATTTGCCGAGAAGTTGGCGTGGCTGCTAGTCGCACCAGACAACACCACGAACAGGGGGACTAGACGGTAGAGAAAGCAGCACCAAAGCGCGCGAGGGAGAGTGTGAGTCTGCTCAGCGAGGCCCGGGCCCCAGGGGGAGGTGGGGAAGGGGGGATCTAAGACAATAACACAACATGTGTACACACACAACAGAGTTTACTTACATGAGTTGACTGTGTGTCGCGTCTTGACGCTATTACAGTATGCCTCAATCACTTGGAGGATAAACGCATCTTCGTTGTAAACTTTTGGATCATCTACAAACGTAAGAACAGGAGGAAATTATGTTAAAACCATTAAATAATAACTTAACATTTTTTAAAAATATACAAACGATCAGTTTAGACATAAATTGGTTATGAAACTCAAAAGAAAATATATATCTATATTCCAATGAGGTAAGAATAAAAAATATTTCCATTCAAAAAGGAAGGAAAGACAGCAGAGCATCATACATTTTAACCATAAATCTTGTCAAGATAAAAAAATGATAATAACATACTACCTGAGGAAATGAAATTCAGAAAAAGATTTTAAAATACATTATACTTTGAAACTAAACTTATAAAAGAGATACACCTGTAGAAATCAGAAATGAAATGAAGAGGGTTACACATATCACGGTAACCACAAAACTACAACTTGCTGTCGAGTCAGTTTTGGAAAATTACACAAGGGAAAAAGAAGTCTTCATCCACTGATTCAAGTGCAGATCCCTCAGATCATCAAGCAAACTTTCTTCATTTTCAAACAGTCATCATCATCCTCATCATCAACACTTCTCCCTCAATGCTGGAGTATAGGTCACCAACTAGAGATCTCTCCTGGGCTATTTATAAACTCAAACTCTTGTCAGGATATCCCATCTCCTTTAGGTCAGAAAATTAGTCCTCCCTCAAAGTACCTTTCAGCTTCCCTCTTCATACTTTTCCTTGTGGATTCCTTCTTTAGGCTTGGTGGGTAATGTCTGTTACCGATTTTCTCAAAGTGTGTCCAGTCCACTTCCATGTTCTCTTTCTGATTTCTGTATCTATTTTCCATCGATTTCTTTGCTCCTGCAGTTGTTCATTTCTCAAGGTGTCAGGCCAATGATTTTTCGGAATTTCTTAATGAAGCAGCAGTTGACAAACGCCTGTAGCTTTTTAGAAGTTTGATTCATACGTTTCCGAGTTTCCGATCCATAGAGCAGTACACTATTGACACTGGTGTTGAAAATCCTTGTCTTGGTTCTTGTTCCTAGAATTCCTGGTTTCCATACAATTCTGTGCTGCTCGCCTCGCCTATTCTTGTCTTGACATCTGAGACTGAACCACCAATCCAGTCTTCTCTTTTTGGTTTCAGTAAGACTTTTTACGGAACTTGCAACACAATAAGCACAATACGGTCATATAACAGCTGAAGATTAAAGGTGTTACAAGAAAGTAACAAACACAAAAAAGAGAAGAGAAAAAGACAATAGACATTTGATAGGAAAAAAGAGCAATCCACACAAGAGTATCCACCAACAATGTTGTCTACGATACTTTTTTGGTAACTGATAGAATCAAGCTGCCAACCTCACTTATAATATAACTGCTGGTAATCAGTCAGAATCACTAGCGAATAAGGAATACTAGAATCAACTTGAACAAAGACAATTATTAAGCTGCTTCAACTAAATATTATGTTGACAATAACTTAACAAAACAAATTAGCATAATACAGAACTACAAGAACAAACATGAGTCATGAAATACTTGGCCAAACAATAAAATAAAAAAAACAACCCCCAAAAATACAGAAATAAACTACTAATCTAAAAGAAACAAGACAAGTTCAAGTTCCTGGTCTGCTTTGCTTATAAATAAAGACAATTTTACAAAATTAAATTCTTTAAAAATCAAGTGACCTAGGGTAATAAACGTGTGAAAACTGAACACAAATTATACTTCTGTTGTCAAAATCCGTGAAAACTGAAATTTACAAAATGCTAAAGCAGGTGAATTTCAAGGTGAAAAAAAGAACAAAAATAAGATCAAACCGCAACACACATGAGGCAACTCAAAACAAAACAAAGGTGACTCAAAGTGAGAAGAAAGAAGCAATACAAAATCAATCAGACAAGGAACTAAAACTCAATTTGAAAACATTCTGAATAGCAATTTAATAAGCAACTTTGGGAAATGGGGGAGGATGGGTGTGTATGTGTGTGTGTGAGTGTCTGTGTGTGTGAGTGTGTGTGTGTGTGTGTGTGTGTGTGTGTGTGTGTGTGTGTGTGTGTGTGAGTGTGTGTGTGTGTGTGTGTGTATGTGTGTACGTGCATGTGGAAGCAGTGCTGACATTGACATGTGCTGATAACGGAGACACGACACTGGGTGACAATAGCAACAGTAACACTCTGGTGTGAGGGCGACAAGTGACAAGTATGTGACTGATGGTCAGATCTGGAACAAAGCTTCGCTAAGTTTTAGTCACAGTTTTATGGCAATTGTACTACAAATAGGTCACAAAAGTGCCGAAAACATACTGGAGGCATCATGGTGAAATCAGGCGCTCGTCAAAATAATTAAATAAAAGAAACATGGAATTTTTTCACTGGTTTGGCAATTTTTATTGAATGTTTGTTTTTGGGCTCAACATCTTTTACGTCCACTTAAAAACACATTTCTTTGTGGATTTTACTGTTAAAACATTTTTAAAAAGGCATATAAAATGTAATTTTTTCACTTTCTCCAAGGACTATGGAAGTAACCAAATTTTGGCAGCCATTTTTCGCTAATTTTACTTCTGAAACCTGGCAGTGCCCCCTCATTCAATCGCAAATATCTTGACTTTTATTCCAGATGGGAATTTTAAGTTTTGAGAAGAAACCCATTCCGCCGCAACCTAAAAATTGACAAGCGAATGATAACACTGTGTCGTGACACACATAATATTTAATATACCACTGGGTACAGTCAACAGTTGGGTACTCTAAATACCTTTCTCTAAACCATGGGTCGACAACCTCAGGACTTTAAACCAGTTCTCCGCTAATCAGAAATCCCCCTCTACTTGTCACACCTTGTCCACAGTGTTGAGGTCACAGTAGTCAGAACATGTCCATCTCTGCTCCCCCCCCCCCCACCCCCTCTTCAGGATCCATTCCAGAGTCTGCTTATAGTCCCCATCATAATCTGGTTGGAGATCCGTCGGACTGGTCCTCACAGATGGCCGTGTTTCCCTTCTCCTCTTTGGATCCCCCTCTCCTTCAATCTGCCTTCTACTTATTATTTACAAAACCCGGCCTACGGAGCTTTACTGCAACCACTAGCTCAACAGGTATCATGCTGAGCTCAGGAGTGGATGGTGCTGGTACGGATCCCAGACTGGGCATTCTCAAACTCAGGTCATTTTGTGGAGTTTTCAAGGTTCTCAACCCATTTGGCTTCATCATGTCAGAGATGGACATTTTAAATTTAGAGGTCCTGCTTCTTACATAATCTAATCATGTTGAATGAGGCGATAAACCCATACTTTACCTTTTTTTTACTGAAAGATCTATAATACACAAATAGATACAGATAAAAGTAGTAAGGGCAAACAGATTGTTTAAAAAGACAATCACGGACAAAACAACAGAAAGAAAAAATGAACAAGCAACACCAGACAAGAAATCCATGCCACAAAAAAATCTCACTAAACAACAGCATACACACATATGACCCTCAGCTTCTGGGCACGACACTCATGCAAGTGAAAAATTTAAAAAGCAGCAAAACTGGAACCAAAACAACAAAGCTCCATCATAACAACAAGGTCACCAAACAATACGTGGTTTCCATGACAACACATACTTTTACTATGCCAGTCTGTGTCCTCTCCGGAGTATGTGCGTACTGATGGAGATCACATCAAAGAAACCACATCAAAAGTTGTTGCAGAATAGTGAAATTTAGACCAAAAAAAAGAAAAATTATGAGGGGAAAAACCCAGATAAATCAAATTCCCCATTTTGAGCCCCATTCATTTGTGAGTTGAGAGTATTCACAAGGAACAATTAGTTTGTGTTGCCAATTCATTTGGACTTTTTGCCCCCAACGCATAACCATATGCAACAAATTACACAAAATATTTTTTTAATCAAAATGTGACATTTAGGCCTTCTGGTGAATGCTGAATTCCACCCTGCCTGTCAGAGCCAACAGAGGCTGAGAGAGACACAACATCCCAGCAAAAAAATAAAAAACTGAAAAAATAAAAATTCCCAAGTTTTCTGTGTACACGTGTAGAATGGCGAAGAACCTAACCGCTCTACCACAGATGCCGGTCATAAAAGTGGAAGACAACAGAAAAAGGTACAGAAAATGTGACATAAAAATGAATAGTGGGACTAGGTTGCCAAAATCCAATATGCCTGTTCCAGAAGGACAGCTTGGAGGTCAATGAATTTCTTAAACATGTGACCTTAACTCAGTGTATCCGTCTTCACAAGAACCATCATTTTCATTTGCTGATCCAGTGTGCTGGCATGACCTAATGCAGTCAGGAGAGCTGTAAAACTCTCACCAAACTAAACTAAACCCAAGAATGCCAATTAATTAAAGAATCAAAGGACATAAAAAGGAAGGAAATACACACAAACAACAACCTAAAACAAAACACAAAAACAATTACAATATCACTGCAACCGAATGAGCTGAAAAAAGTCATGTTGGTGAATTCTTTAGGGTAAAAAAAATCACCACATGTTCATTGAATTTAAAAGCACCCAACGCATGTCACCGAGATGAAAAGGAACGTAAAACATCGGTAGACAGGAGAAAAAAAAAATAACATGCTCCAAATACATCCCAAAGGTAACCAGATATTCCACTGGAAAACATTCAAATATTCTGAACATTCTGAGGACTTCTTATAATAATAATAAGGAGAAAAGCATTCGTATAGCACAAATTCCTGCTCAAGAGTAATCTCTCTTCAGTTTACAACCTATATTAATGACATATACGTATTCTTCACCAGGCGAGAGAATATCTGAGCGAGGACTAATACTGGGGCTGTCATTTTTTTATTGTCCTTTTCTCTGAATACACACAACGTAATCTATCCATTCACTGATAGTTTCGTAAACTTCATTTAACATATAGTTCCTGTTAACACGACAGTTTTTCAAATCTCCATGTTTTATTCCCTTTCTTCTTTACATTGCAAGTTCCCTTAACAACATGAAATCTGCTTAACACAAACAAACAAAATCCTCCGGTCCCATGAAGTTCAAGTACACAGGGTTCTACTGTACGAATAAGTATTTATACCAACATGCATGCATCCCTCCCTCTGTCCCTAAACTCAATGTTCAGTAGTTTTTCATTCACTTTCAGTTTTACAGCAGTTAAAAGACAAAGCAAAACTTTATAAACTTTTATTCTGGAGACAAAGTGACAGTTTCCAGACTCTCTTTGTCCCTTCAAAGCAGCTGAGAAATGAGTCTTCATTAAAAAGGAAACATCAATTATCAATATCACTGTCCTTATATTTTAATAATTCCTACTCTCTGCCACAGCCACCAACCATTCCCCAACTACAATCTCGGCAAAAAATAACAACAAAAACAACACACACACATTAGCATAAGGACAAATACATAAACACAACAAAAAGAACACCAGAGAGCAATCCAAAAACAGTCAATTCAGAAAGTGAAATTGGTCTACATTTTAATAAGTAACTAACAAAATACCCCTAGAAAACAACAACAACAAAAAAGTAAAGAGGAGATATCAAGACCAAGGAAGTTGAAAAACAGATGCATCAGCAAACTACCCACCTGGCTTTCTCTTCTGTGTGGACTTGCGGGCTGCCCGCGGTGACTTGAGTACCTCCTCTCTACACATGAGTGCAGGCCGCAGTGGGGGTGACGGTCGCAGGCAGGTCAGGCTCCAGACACACGACGTCTTGGTGGAGAAGGGGAAGTGAGGGGGAGGAGGCGCGGCGGACATTGGGGGTGGGTGTGTTGTTGAGATCTGAGCGGTTTTGGCCGGGGTCACTGTGCTGACACTGGGCTGGCACGTCGAGATCTGACGAAGGAAGAGGGCCGGGTCATCGATATCTAGGTTTAATCAAAGTTTTATGACACTTGCAAAACAATTAAGTCATATGAGTGCCGAAGATTAAAGATGATACTAGGATATAACATACAAAGAAAAGAAGGAGAGACAAGGATGACAGATGTTTGATAAAAGAGAAGGTACCAGAGCATCCACCTTCCACCCACTTATCAATGTATTGTCTGCAAACTCTTCAAATGTATTAAGTACAAAAAGCCTAATTTCTTTGGGCAGAGAAAAACCTGTTTCATTCTTTTAACAAATGTACCTATACTATGTATTTTTTTCATCAATGAGAATTTGAATGTCAACAAAATAATTTCTTGAGCACAGGCATCCGATAGCACAGATTAAGAAACTGCAATTAAAAAAGACAAGGGTAATAAAAATTTTTGGGTGTACACATCTTACAGCTGGCCGACGTTAGATTCGTTTTGTTAAAGTAAAAAGATTAGCACATAGACATAATAACCATCATTCAGTGCAGGGACAAAGAAAAACAGACAGACTGCAACAACTGAGTTATAAAGCTGCATTTAGTATGAGTCAAGAGAAAGACTGACAAAATGAAGATCATTTAGTGGAAGAAACAAGTAAGACTAATAAAAGGAAACAACAGAGGGAGAGTAAAAGAAGTTGGACCACTTTCCACAGGAGCTATGCAGCAGGAGAGGGATCAAAAGGAGAGAAGCTGCAGAAGGAGAAAAATCAGACAAAGAGAAGCTGTGAAAAGGGAAGTGACAGAAGGAGAGAAGTTTCAAAGGGGGAAGTGGTAGAAGGAAAGAAACTGCAAAAGAGGAAATGATTAAAGAAGCGACAGAAGGAGAGAAATTACAAAAGGAGAACTGACAGAAGGAGAGAAGCTATAAAACGAAAATGTAAAGTGGCAGACAGAAAGAAGCTGCAATAGGAAAAGAACAAAAAGGGAAAACAACAAAAGTAAGAAGAGGAAAAAGGAATCGGCAAAAGGAAAAGAAGCAGAAGGACTGGGACTCACCATGTGGACCTGCAGGGGCTGAGGCTTGGCGGACGGGGTGGGGTTACCGGACTGGGACAGCTGCTGGGTCAGGACGTCCAGCCATGAGCTGACCTCCGTGCGGGTGCCGCACACCACTGTGATCTTTTCTATCATTGGACCTGTTTGAGTGTGCGTGTGTGTTTGTGTGTTTGAGTGTGCATGTGTGTGTGTGTGTGTGTGTGTGGAGGGGGAAAGCAAATTTGTTATTAAGTAGTATGTAGTCTTTATTTTATTTTACTTCTTTACTTTATCCTCACTCTTGTATCATTAGATGTCGATCAAGGGGAGGTGCAATTTACAGTCGAGGGATGAGTGGGTGGTTTCTGTTTTGGCTAGGTTATAGTTAATAGTCACCTTTACAGAAATGTATGTGCGGATTTCTCAAGTTTTGAAATACATTTGTGAGGCAGCGTGGTGGAATCAGGCTCTCGTCAATTTTGGGACATATTGAGTTACTGGTATCATCTTAAAGCTTGTTCATTTGTCTTGCTTTCTATGAAAAAATTATTCATCCATCTTCAATAGAAGTGGAGCTATTTTGGATTGAATGAGGTGGGGGTCACCTGGTTTAAGAGGTTAAACTAGTGAGAAAATGGCCGCCAAAGCTTGGTAAATTCCAAAGCTGGAGAGTCCATGGAAACTGTAAATCTATTTTTAAAATTTGCGTTAAATCAACGTTTTCGGTGAAATCCTCAAAGGAATGTGTTTGTAAATGGACATAAAAGGTGTTGAGCCAAAAAAAAAAAACATTTGATAAAAATTGCTAAGCAGGGAGAAAACTGCTGTTTTCTTCGATTTCATTATTTTGACGAGAGCCTAATTCCATCACGCTGCCTCACATTTGGACCTGCTCTAACAGCCACCAGGACAAGACAAAAAGACCTGTACAAACTTCAAGTTCCCCTTTCCTGCTCATCCTTTGTATATGTATTTTTACAATATTATAACGAAACTGTGTAAGATGTCGACCTGTCTGGGACAACTACATTTCTCTATTCTATAGGTGGCAGTCTAAGACAATTTTGACTGCACAGTTTTTGAGGCTGACAAAAAAATATGGACAAAGCAGCACGACACATGGTGTTCTCAGTTAAATTTCAGCTGCATGAAAAGAGTTCGTCTTTTTCAAGTCTTCCTTTTACTAATATACTGGGGATGATTCTCTAATTTACTCTTTATTTGAAATAGAATGTGTGACAAAAAGGGGGTCATGAACAGATATCAGTAGAAAAGACTTACCTGAGATTTCAAAACCTTGCTGCAAACTCTCAGCATTTTCCAAGATAGTTGCTGTTAAACCACTCAGAGGGATCTTGCCCTGGTGGAAAGTGGAGAAAGTTTTTCGTTAAAGGATCACAATGCAGTTGAACCTGACCTAGCAACCACCTGTCCAAAGCAATGAGTTGTATGTATAAACAACCACTTTCCCTCTGACAGTTTTTTTTCTCTATTATAATGACTGTCAAAGACAATCACCTGTCTAAGATGACCACTTTTCTCCTCTACGATGCAATGGGTGGTTGTGCTAGACAAGATTGACTGTAGTTTTTCAAAAAGTCAAGTTCCATACCCAGATAGATACAATTGACTTTTGGGCTTTGTTCGCACTATTATTCGCAAATCCAGTCTTGGATGTTCATAAATTTTTCTTCACAATTAGCAAGTCAGGGAAGCGCAATATTATTAGGAAATTGAGAATACATATTTTCCGACAAAAATGAACTTCTGTACTCAAAGCCCTCAAAATCTTATCAGATACGATCTTTACATACTGATTGGCAGATATGTAATAATGTTCTAATAATAAACGTAGTGATAAATTGTATCCACATAGTCCATTTCCACTCCTTGAACATTCAATATATAAAAGCTTTCAGGAACTTATCACGTAGAAATCCGAATCCACAGAAAAAATGATGTAACTAAAAAAACATGGAGATCCTTCTCCTAGAGAATCTGAGTGGGCCTAATAGCATCTGCCGTCTAGCGGTCAAGCACTTCACTGCAACATGCAAGAGGCCCGATTTCAAATCCCAAGTGTACAGAATTTCTAAGGAGTACATTAATCTTTGTGCTGGGATGTTGCACTCTTCCCAGCCCCGGTCGGCCCTGACTGACAGGGTCAAAGCCCGCCTCCTAAATTGTGTCGATAGAGCTGTAATAATATTATATCTTTTCATTATGCGGCCTCACCTCATACTGGTAGCTGCTGAGCCGTTCGCTCATGGAGAGCATGACGAGACAGGCTGGGAACAAGACCAAGATGCGTTCATACTTCTCCCCCGTCTGTGACTGCATCTTGACTTGAGATAAATGCTTCACCTCTCCCAGTTTGCTGATTTCCTGGAATTGACAACCAGAAGGACATTTAGAGTGAGGTTTTATTAGTTGAACAGTTGAGCCAACATTTTGTACGATAGTTGATAAAAACATTGTGTGTGTTAGTTGGAGAGCACATTGGTTCTTTTTTTCATAGGAGATAATATTTTGTTTGTTTGCTTGAGTTGACCAATCTCCTTCCATCAGCAATAAAGTTGCAGTCGATGTAAACATTAATGTGTCCTGCTTTTGTTTTTTGCTTTTATATATTGTATGACTATACCATACCTATATCATACAAACATATCTAAATACTTTCAAAATCTGAAAAATTTCCACATGTTGTATTATTGCCAACTTTATTTTTCTCTACATGTTGAAATTAGTTGATGAAAGTGATATACAAATGGAATTTGAATTCTATATAAATATCTACACTGAGCAGTCAATATAAAACTTTACTACACAAATAAGTAAATCAGTGGACAAACTTATACGCAAGCACTAAACACGTGTCTGCCTGTAGAAGAACTTCAGTTGAGAATGGTAGAAAATTATGCATTGAATGAGTTATTGGTAAACAACAGCAGCTTTTGCTAGCAAAGACAATGACAACTTACTGTTGACCACAGAGCACAGAGGTTATATTTAGTACTAGAGTTTGTGGCAGTGATTTCCCCCACATAAACGAATGGGGTCTGTGAGTGCCCAATCTGGGATGCTAAACCTCGAGGGCAAGACATGCGCAGTTCAACAGACCAGTGACTACTTTTCGAGACTCATGTAGAGGCGTCTCAGCGGTCTTAGGAGGAAATCTACAAGCTTGCACTGAAATATGGGGGCACGGTGGTATTTAATATGCTACAGCTCGTGGGAAGTGACGCGGGGCTCAGACTGTTCACGTATATGGGGAGCACGCCAGCCATGCCGATGAGGGTAAGAAGCCCCCCCCCCCTCCCCCCGTCGACACATGTAACTTCACTGCCGTGCATTTTAGCATTATATATAACCTCTTTGCTATTGACACACAGGTCTTACCTCCCCTTCCCAGCCCTGTATGGAGCTTGTAATGATTTCATGCTCCATCTCTTTTAACTTACGGATTTCCAAACATGTATTCTGAAACAAGAACAAGAGAAAAAGAAATTTAACACAAAATATAATTCAAGAGTTTCACAGCACTTTCAAATAATAACTACTGAAGATTGGAGGGTTATTTAAATTATATTTTTATGACACTTGCAACACAATTATGTCATGTGAGTGTCAAATTGCTGACTGATAAAAATATACAATATTTACAATTACTTAAAAAGAAGCACATATAACTAAAACAAAGGACATTCATCACTTACAAAGGGTTAGACAGACAGACAGACAGACAGACAGACAGACAGACAGACAGACAGACAGACAGACAGACAAAATGTTTGTTGGTAGAGTAAAGAGAAGCACATTGATAAAATATTAGTCATTCAAAATGGAAGCTTTGTATTGTTTTTTTAAACACTCAATACAAAATTGCCCCACAGCATGCAGTGGCCAAGAGCCCAACCACTACATTTGTATTTTATCTATCTTATGAAATGCCCTTTAGTGACATGAATACTACCATGTCAGTCTTATTTTCACTTTTGAGAGCTTGGGTATTTCAACTGATTTCACTCAATTTTCTCCTGCTTTGGCTCACGAGATATTCAGAATTCCGTAATCCTGCCCATGATTTGCCCATGATTGCCCACAACAAAACCCTCCCCAAAAAACATAAGCCAAACACAGTCTTCCAACAACACCAAAAACATTTTTATAACAAAATTTAAGCACTGTCTTTTAACTTACACAAGAGAAGAGAAATCCAACCAAAACATTACTAATGAGACAAAATCTAAAAACACATCCATGAGGCAACACAAGTAGGGCGAATGCAAAGACAAAAATGAAACCCCTTTCAAGCCTAGGCTAGCTGCTCATTCACTATATCTCTCACTCTATCAACACTACTGCCATCAGAAGGAATTCCTTATCTGATGAAGACGGGATGATGCCTAAGCACTAGTCAAATTTATCCCATGCTTAAAATCCTTTATATCCATACAGTTCTCACCCCCCCCCCCCCCCTTTCCTGTTCACCCTCATACACTTTTTTCCTCCCTTTATTTTTTCGAAGGTAACCAAGAATACACACTTTGAGCTGAGGAAGGGATGGTTTTAGTTTTAGTTCTTGCAAAAGTTTTAAGGATCTTGTAACACAAATAGTTCACATAAGTGCCGAGAATTAGAGATGTTACTTGAGAGTAACATACACAGAAAAGGGAGGATGAGAAAAAAGGATGAAAGATGTTTGAGAGGCAGGAAGGAGCAAATCACACCAGAGCACCAATCAACCACCCACAAGAAGGGGTAGGGTGGGCAGAGGATTCCAAACAAGATGATGAGTAAGGGGAGGTAAAAACAGCAAGTATTTGTGTGCGGATGGAAAGGGGAGAGAAGTGTATCCTCCAGAAGAAGTGTGCCGGGTGAAGCGAGATAAGAGAGCGGATGATATCACCTCAGACATTCTGACTGTTCTCTCTCCCCCCCCCCCTCCCACTCCCTCCCTGTTATCATAGACTTCGGCCTGGGTGCAGAACACTTGAGACAAGACTAGTTTGTCATTGCTTGTTCGTCTCTGCACAGAATTTTCCTTGATTTATATTAAAGGTTGTTTTAGTTGTTGTTGTTGTTGATAAACCTATAGCCTCAGAGCTCTTAGACTTTTAAGGGAGGTAGAGTGAGTCACAAATGTAGTATTATTATTATTATTAGTAGTAGTAGTACTATTCTTCTTCTTCTTCTTTTTCTTCTTCTTCTTTGTATTATAATGATCATCATCAAACCAGCAGCCTTTGAACATGTGCTCTTCAGCCTAATGCCATGATAAAAAAAAAAGACGGATGCCTTCAACAGTTTCTTTTTCCAGCGGTATTGTCAGTGGTAGGGTATGGGAGGAAGAAGTACCAGTTGGAGATCCTGTAGTTAGGGACACTCAAAGAGCAAAATTTAACTCTTTTTGTACCTTACTTTACCACTTGAAGTCAGAATTGCTTACAACCAAGTGCGACCTTCTGGATTAAGGTAATGAAAGAGCTAAAGGTAGGTAAGTAGGCATTTTATTCAGGGTTTAAGGCCAGTGGGTAACATTACACAAAGCATACAGATTTTACAGTTATGAGAGACTCTTGAGTAAACAGCATAAACGACATACACAACAATAACATTTGAGAAATGTTTTATTTTAGCTTTGGTAAAAGTTTTACTGCACATGCAACACAATTAGGTCATACAAGTGCTGAAGAATAAAGGTGTTACTACAGAGTAACATATAAAGAAAAGAAAGAGGAGGAAAGAGGGTGATAGATTTCTGCTATGAAAGAAGGAGCAAGCCACATCAGAGCATCCGCCTACCACCCACTTTAATTAATAAAATGTTGGTTGTTTGTTTTGACTGAATTAAGAGGAAGTACATCCATATGTTAATGGCCATCTAATACAGAGAAAATTTAGTTTTAGTTAGAGTTTTACAGCACTTGCTACACAAAGAGGTCATACAAGTGCTGAAGATTAGACGTGTTTCTAGAGAGCAATAATTTAAAAAAAATTTTTTAAGAGGTAAGGACTAGATGTTTGGTAGGAGTACGAGAACACCCAGCAACCACCCATGAGCAGGGAAAAAGTAAGACAGACAAACCGAAACAACAGAGGGAAAGAAAAGAAGAAGGGCCTATCAGTGGCACCCTCCAGCCACCCAGTCTTCAGATTGTTAAGGATTTTAAAAAAAAATAGTTTTAGCAAGAGTTTTACTGCACTTGCAACACAATAAGGTCATGTAAGTGCCGAAGATCAGAGACGTTACAAGAAAACAACAAACACACAAAAAAAAGAAGAGAGATCAGGACCATAATGCTTGATAGGAAAGCAGGAGCAAATCACATCAGAGCAACCGCCTACCACTCACTTTAAAGAAAAAAGGAATAATACATACCAAGAAACAGGAAAAAAAAACAACAGAAAAACAAAAAGACAGACTTACCCAGATAAACTAAGAGAGAAGCAGGCAGGCAGGCAGACAGACAGACAGACAGAAAGACAGACACACAGATACACTAACAGACAGACAGGCACATTAACAGACAGACAGACAGACAGGCAGAGTCTGTATTTGGTCTGAATATACTCACAGCAATATTCCTGTACACAGCTATGGCCCTTTGTGTGTCACCTCGATCTGGATGACTCTCCTGAGAACACAAAACAAAGATAATATTAAAGCACATATCCACACTATTTTTTGTTTAGTTTCACTGAAAGTTCTATGGCACTTGCAACACAATTAGATGATATATAAGTGCCGAAGATATGAGGTGTAACAGGATAGTAACATACACAAAAAAGAAGTAGAGGTACAAAAAAAAGGAGAAGGAGAGGTAAGGACGATACATGCTTGATAGGTAAGAAGGAACAAACCACACCAGAGCTCCCGTCAACTATCCCTGTCCACCCTCTACAGCAGATGGGCCAACGCAGAAACAGGAAGATCACTCTTCGGGTACATGGACAAACCCAACCCCAAAGACCCATCGAATCTGTTATGTAGAGCTGATAAGACTTTGATCTTCAGAGCACGCACAGGACACTTACACACCAACAAGCACATAAACAGAATTAACCCCATGTGGGAACCCCATTGCAGACACTGTGACTACCACGAGTAGACAGTTGAACATCTCCTCCTTCACTGCCCAAACCTGGCACTTCTGCGACACACACCTACAGACTTACAAAGCCTGCTCTACTCTGGCGTTGACCAGATGACAAGGACATGTGGTTACTTGAGAGAGGCATTAAGCTGCGAAGAGCGAAATGCTCACAGCTAAAGGGATTTGAAAACAACAAAAACCCTCTACAGCACGCTTAATGCACTTTACAACTGTACGGAACAGACTACTCAAAGAGATTTTATTCTTGATTTTTTAAAAAGCATATGAAATAGTGTCCACCTCAAATTCTTCTCTGCCAGAACGGGTCTCATTGGCCACAGCATAAGCCACAAAGAGACGGAGAGAGAGACAGACACATATAATTTACAGAAACAACTACTCACCTCTACGTGACGTTCGAGCTCCTTGAGCAGACTAGGGTATTTGTCGAGCCGCGTGAACGGCTTGGACAAGATGGTGGTGAGTGCCTGGGCCCCCGGAGGCGACGCCCCCTGAGACTCCACAAACTTACTCAACTCATCCCTAGGGAAAAGAAAAGCAAACAGCCATAGGTCAAAGGTCATGCCAGGAGTTTTGATTATTTTATTAAATAAATCAAACAACAAATAAGTCAAAAGGATATGCCTGGTCTTTGATTATCTTGTATAATAACTCAATTCATTTAAAGAAACAAAAAGCACATTGTAAACAAACAACAACAGATTAAAGTAAAGCCTACATAGAATATGATTATATCAATCCATGAATTTCTTTTTTTGAGTAGCACGAACGCATGCTAGTGTTTGGGCGTTACCGGCAAAACCCAGAGTCGGTACTTTCCCGTCACTAAGTGCCGAGAACCGCCAGTACCGGTACTGGGAGTGATACCAGGAGGTGACGTCACAGACGGTGCATCTCTTGTCTCGAATCTAATGCCACGATCAGCGCCACCCGCATCCACCCCCCCACACACAAGTCAGAATTGGAGAGGTGAACCGAGACGCAAAATATCTTTGAGGTGTGCTGCCCGCAGGATTAAACTATGCATGCAGAATTTTTTTTATAATTATTGCAGCTAAAGATTTATTTCATTTTCAGAATCAGCGTGTCAAAATAAGCAAAATGGCTCGCATGGAACTTGATTTGATGCCATATTTAAACTTAAGCAAACTTCATTTTTGATTGTTAACTTTGAATCCAAAGTCAAGTATCAAGGTCACCCGCTGCGTTGTGCATCTGACGTCACAGCTGCTATGACTACACACCGCACACTTCCCGGGGCCTGGTAAAGAACCGTTGATGTCGGCTTAAGAGCCGTACTGAAAGTTTGTAATGTCCTTGTGTCGGCTCCTTCCCAGAGCCGGTTCTCGAGGCCTTGTGCCAGTACTGACACCTCCTCTGGTAGAACCCGGAGTTCCGGTACTAGGCACCGGTACCTACCCATCCCCTAACGCACTCACGCACGCACGCACATATGCATGTACCAACACACACACACACATATACAGAATCCCGAGCTTACCGATGCTTCTGCAGGATGGAGACAGCTTTCGGATGGTTGGAGCAGTAGTTAGAGTAGAGCTCCTTTACACTGGATGCATACTGCATGAAGATGCCACCGATTCTCCTCTGGGCTGAGGGAAGCCTGAAAACAAAAAATCGTACATTGTTACAAAAAATTTCCCAGAGGGATTAACAAAAACGGAATTAGAAATCTAAAAAGCAAACAAGACTAACAAATTCTAACGACAAAAAGACATGTAACTGACAAGAATACAGAATACCTAAACAACATATCAAGTATATAAATTCACCACAAACACTGCTTAGCACAGACAATGGCTGAGCCGTATAGTGAGGGAACAACCCTCTGCTATATTTTAATAACAGGTCTTATGAGAGTTAAAGATTTGAGATATTACTATAGAGTAACAGGCAAAGAAAAGCAGGAGAAATAAGGATGATAGATGTTTGATAGAAAAGGAGCAAACCACACCAGAGCACCTGACAATCACCCTCAAAGAGACATAAGGATGATGAAAAATATTTGATGCGAAAGAAGGAGCAAACCACACCAGAGCACCTGACAATCACCCTCAAAGAGACACAAGGATGATGAAAAATATTTGATGTGAAAGAAGGAGCAAACCACACCAGAGCACCTGACAATCACCCTCAAAGAGACACAAGGATGATGAAAAATATTTGATGCGAAAGAAGGAGCAAACCACACAATGCAGAGCACCAGCCAACCAGCCACAACATGAAGAAAACATGGGTGTTAGGCAAGACGGCCATCAACTCACTTCTCACACTCCTCCAATGCAGCTAGAAAGCCCTGTTGAAATGCGATGATTTCCTCCATGTTCCCGATCAGCTGCTTGTATTCCGGTGGGCTTAAACTGATCGAAAAAACAACCATTTAAGTTGGATTAAAATTTCTCTTTTTTTAACTGAAGAAAAAATTACCTGAAAAAACAACAACCTGCAAGCAAGCCCCTTAACAAATTTCTAAAAACCTTATTTCCATAGAAGTACGTCATTGCTAGGTAGCATATCAATGTAATGCAAATGTTCTGCTATGAACTTGAGAAGCATAGCATAGGCAAAATCGTATCACATTTTCAGTCGTACAATAGAAGTGAAAAAGAACCTACTTATTAGGAGGAAATCTGCTCTTATACTTCAAGTATTGACCTTCCTAATGTACACAGTTTATTGAATCAGCCATAAGTTTCCTTCTGTGATGTCATAGTAGATTCAATTGGTCCTAATTTGAGTTGCTCTTTCGGTTCGCTCATCCCCAATTTTTTAAAATATAACCACACATTTCTACTCCTCTACAAATGAGCTCTTCTTCTTTTATACATTTTACTTTTTGAAAGTGCACAGGTTTATTGGTTTTACTTGCTTGGCTTGCCAGTTCGCCAATATTTTCCAACATAAGGTTGTGAAATCATATAATTTCACCTGACACAAAAGACAATTTGTTTGCAACAGTTGGTGGGTTAAATTTAAAAAAACAAGCCTACTTTGACTGAGCAAAGGTCAGTTTATCAGCTTGTACTCACATAGCGGTGCCTTCAATGGGTTTGAGGTAGGACTGTAATACTTTGATCAGCTCCGTGACATGAGTCTTCTCTGTTTCTATCACATTTTTCAGCACCTGGGAAAGACAAAAATATAAGATAGGATGAATATAGAAATATAAGATAAGACCAGATGTGATAAGATAAGATGAGGTGAGATAAAGATAAGATGATAGAAGATAAAATAGATACGATAAGATAAGTTATAATAAGATAAGATAAGGTAAGTTATGATAAGATAAGATAAATAAGATAATTGGTTGCGGTTTTTTTAGTTTGAGAGTATTATGGCACTAGGAACAAACCACACCAGAGCATCCATCAACCACCCACACATAAGATAAGGCACAATAAGATAGATAAAATGAACTTTTATTGCCCAAGACATCGCATCAACATAGAATAGAACTTATTACATTCATACACAATGATGCACATACAATGATGCACGAGTAACTCACTCAAATGTACATAAACAATGTGTTTGTGGACATGAGCTCTTTCTCTATCTCTGAAAGAGAAAGGGAGAGAGAGAAAGAGTCAGAGAGAGAGAGAGAGAGAGAGAGAGAAGGAAAGAGGGAGTGACTGAGAGAGAGAGAGAGAAAGAGAGAGAGAGAGAGAGAGAGAGAGAGAGAGAGAGAGAGAGAGACAGAAAAAGAAAAGTGAGAGAAACAGAACAAAAGAGAGAAT